CAAATATATAGTTAAAATAAAAAAGCAAGGTAAAGGACAGAGAAATTAATACAATTATGTAATAGTTTTTTTTAATTCTACATTTAAAAATGTAATTTATTAATTTGGAAAGTCTAGCCAGAGTCCTGAGGCTAATTGTGGAACTGCTCTAGAATTCCTGAAACATAAATATTTTTCTAAGAACTTAAATAGTTGTTGGAGTGTTGGAGCTATTTTTTTTAAAGAGAGAATGAGAGAGAGAGAGAGATTTTAATATTTATTTTTTAGTATTTGGCAGACATAACATTTTTGTTTGTATGTGGTGCTGAGGATTGAACCCGGGCCGCACTCATGCCAGGTGAGTGTGCTACCGCTTGAGCCACATCCCCAGCCCAGGAGCTATTTTTTTTAATATTTATTTTTTAGTTGTAGTTGGACACAACACCTTAATTTATTTATTTATTTACTCACCCATTTATTTATTTATTTTTATGTGGTGCTGAGGATCGAACCCAGGACCCTGCACGTGCTAGGCAAGTGCTCTACTCGTGAGCCACAACCTCAGCCTCTGTTGGAGCTATTAATAAAATTAAATGTAAAGAAAGAATGAAAAAAATATTGAATATATTTTCTTTCTGCTCACAAGGTTTTCATACTGATAACAATTTTTAGTGGTTTTTCAAAATCTTTTAAAATTTCTGTCATCCTTGGAGGGATCTGCTTCTCCATCAGAGTGCTGTTTATTTGCAAATAATCCCTTTCCATTGAGGCCACTTTTGCACATTTCCATTAGTTTCAAACTCTGTTCTTTATCCCAGTGTCTTTCTTTTTTTTTTAAATATTTTTTTAGTGGTTGATGTACCTTTTAATTAATTGATTTATTTATATGTGGTGCTGAGGATCGAACCCAGAACCTCACACATGCTAGGCAAGTGCTCTGCCACTGAGCCACAATGCCAGCCCCTCTTTCTTCTCTTTCTTAGATGCACAGTTCACACTTAATCCATGCTTTCTATTCATTTTTTTCTTCAGCTTTTTCTTTCGTTCCAAATGAAAAGGTACTAACTAGTATGATTACTGTTTTCTCAAAAAGCTCTGTTTGACATCCTGACACTTCTACATGTTAGCTGTATAACCTCAGACTGGCTATTGAGCACCTCTAACCCTAGTTTGCTTCTCTGTGAAGTTGAATATTAATATCATCTTATGAGATTTTTGTGAGAATGAAAATGAGATGATCTCTATCAATGTAAAATACCTAGCGAATTACCAACCATACTTAAGTGTCTTAAGTGTCAGCTGGTAACTATTACCTCTGTCAGCCTATTTTGTTATACAGCAGTTTTTGTCCTGTGAAGGATGCCTATGTTAGCATTTTCTAGTAGAAGATTACAGTAGTGATCTTGCAGGTGTGGAAGAAGACAGGATTTGTGTTTTAAGGAGATAAAAGAGATAATTAAAGGAAGAAAGAGATGCTCATTTGAAGCTGTTGGTTGTTTCTAATATACCATGCTATTTATCTGCAAATAGTCCCTTTCCATTGAGGCCACTTTTGCACATTTCCATTAGTTTCACGGAAGATGGAAGGAGACCCTCATTGTTATACATTTTGCACATTTCCGTTAGTTTCAACTTGTTTTTCAGAATTCTTTATTTTCTTTTGTTCTGCTATTGTATCTTGTTATCCTTAAGATGTATAATAAAAATGAAAGAGATAAAGAAGAGAAAAAATTTGAAAGCCATTTGGTTAACTCTTTCCTAAAATTATGTTTTTGGTGAAAGTCAGGAGTTTCCCAGAATGGATAAAGTAACACTTGTATTTTTTTTTTAATTAATTGCTCAAGACAATACAATGATCATGACATATCATACATTTGATTCAAATGGGGTATGAATTCTTATTTTTCCACGTGTACAGATTGCAGAATCACATTGGTTATATAGCCACGTTTATACCTAAAGCAATACTAGTGTGTGTTGTATTCTGCTGCCCTTCCTATCCTCCCTCCCCTCCCCTCCCCTCTCCTCCCCTTCCATCACCTCTCTTTACCCAATCTACTGTGACAAATTTCTCTCTCTTTTTTTTCCTTCCCCCTCACATCCTCTTATATGTAATTTTGTATAACAATGAGGGTCTCCTTCCATCTTCCAGGCAAATTCCCCTTCTCCCTCCCATTCCCTCCCACCTTTCGTCCCTGTTTAGTGGTAATTCTCATGCTCTTCCTCCCTACTCTGTTTTGAGTCACCTCCCTTATATCAAAGAAAACATTCTGCATTTATTTTTTAGAGATTAGCTAATTTCACTTAGCATAATCTGCTGTAATGCCATTCATTTCCCTGCAAATTCTATGATTTTGTCATTTTTTAGTGCTGCATAATACTCCATTGTGTATAAATGCCACATTTTTTTAATCCATTCATCTATTGAAGGGCATCTAGGTTGGTTCCACAGTTTAGCTATTGTGAATTGTGCTGCTATGAACATTGATGTAGCTGTGTCCTTGTAATATGCTCTTTTTAGGTCTTTTGGGTATAGTCTGAGAAAGGGAATAGCTGGGTCAAATGGTGGTTCCATTCCCAGCTTTCCAAGGAATTTCCATACTGCTTTCCAAATAGGCTGAACCAATTTGCAGTCCCACCAGCAATGTACAAGTGTACCTATTGCCCCACATCCTCGCCAGCACTTGTTATTGTTTGACTTCATAGTGGCTGCCATTCTTACTGGAGTGAGATAGTATTTTAGAGTGGTTTTAATTTGCATTTCTCTGATTGCTAGAGATAGTGAGCATTTTTTCATGTATTTGTTGATTGATTGTATATCCTCCTCTGAGAAGTGTCTGTTCAGATCCTTGGCCCATTTGTTGATTGGGTTATTTGTTTTCTTATTGTTTAATTTTTTGAGTTGTTTGTGTACTCTGGAGATTAGAGCTCTATCTGAAGTATGAGGGGTAAAACTTTGTTCCCAGGATGTAGGCTCCCTATTTACCTCACTTATTATTTCTCTTGCTGAGAAAAAACTTTTTAGTTTGAATGTGTTCCATTTGTTGATTCTTGATTTTAACTCTTGTGCTATAAGTGTCCTATTAAGGAATTTGGAGCCCGACCCCACGAGATGGAGATTAGGGCCAACTTTTTCTTCTATTAGATGCAGAGTCTCTGGTTTGATTCCTAGCTCCTTGATCCATTTTGAGTTAACTTTTGTGCATGGTGAGAGAAAGGAATTCAATTTCATTTTGTTGCATAAGGATTCCCAGTTCTCCCAGCACCATTTGTTGAAGATGCTATCCTTTCTCCATTGCATGCTTTTAGCACCTTTGTCTAATATAAGGTAGTTGTAATTTTGTGGATTGGTCTCTGTGTCCTCTGCTCTGTACCATTGGTCCATCCACCTGTTTTGGTACCAGTACCATGCTGTTTTTGTTACTGTTGCTCTGTAGAATAGTTTAAAATCTGGTATTGCTATACCATCTGTTTCACTCTTCCTGCTTAGAATTGCTTTAGCTATTCTGGATCTTTTATTTTTCCAGATGAATTTTATGATTGCTTTTTCTATTTCTGCAAGGAATTTTGATTGGCATTGCATTGAACCTATAGAGTACTTTTGGTAATATGGCCATCTTAATGATATTAATTCTGCCTATCCATGAACAAGGTATATCTTTCCATCTTCTAAGGTCTTCTTCTATTTCTCTCTTTAGGGTTCTGTAGTTTTCATTGTATAGGTTTTTCGCCTCTTTTGTTAGGTTGATTCCCAAGTATTTTTTTTTTTTTTTGAGGATATTGTGAATGGGGTGGTTGTCCTCATTTCCATTTCAGAGGATTTGTCACTGATACACAGGGATGCCTTTGATTTATGGGTGTTGATTTTACATCCTGCCACTTTGCTGAATTCATTTACTAGTTTTAGAAATTTCCTGGTAGAACTTTTTGGGTCTGCTAGGTGTAGGATCATGTCATCCGCAAATAGTGCTAATTTAAATTCTTCTTTTCCTATCTTTATGCCTTTAATTTCCGTCTAATTGCTCTGGCCAGTGTTTAGAGAACTATGTTGAATAGAAGTGGTGAGAGAGGGCATCCCTGTCTTGTTCCAGATTTTAGAGGGAATGCCTTCCATTTTTCTCCATTTAGAATAATGCTTGCCTGAGGCTTAGAATAAATAGCTTTTACAATGTTGAGGTAAGTTCCTGTTAACACTTCTATTCTTAATTTAACTTTAGGATTGATAAAGAAGCTCTTTTAGTCACTTTAGTACTTCTGATTACTAATATTGTTTATTTACAAATGAATTAAATATTTTTTAATCACTTAGAGCCTATCTTATACATACTACACTTAATATTAGTCTCCCTTTCTCCCCTTCCCTTTCCTCCTTCCCCCCCCTTTCTTCCTTCCTTCCATTCTTTCATTCTTTCTTTCTACCAGGGATTGAACTCAGGCACACTTAACCACTGAGCCATGTCCCAAGCCCCTGTTGTATTTTATTTTGAGACAGGGTCTTGCCAAGTTGCTCTACGGCCTCACTAAATTGCTGAGGTTTGCTTTGATCTTATGATCCTCCCACCTCAGCCTCTCAAGCTGCTGAGGTTACAGGTGTGTGTCACTGCACCAATATTAGGCTTTTTTGATACTTTCAATTGTAAATTTACACATGCAGTTGAAAGTTGATGGAGAGTTAGAAATAGATTCAAATATAGATAAGAGATAGATGATATTGTTTACATTAGTTACTCTTTTTCTTATACCTTTTTATTCTATCTATCTATCTATCTATCTATTTATTTTTATGTGGTGCTGAAAAATCTAACCTAGTGCTTTCTGTGTGAGGCAAGCACTCCACCACTGAGCTGCAACCCTAGGCCCCATTAGTTACTCTTGTAGCCATCTTCTCTTTGGAGAGAGTGCACAGAACTACCATAGAAGAAATCATTACCCTTACTTTGCTTAATTGATTGTCAGTATTTTATTTCATTTTGTAAATTAGCCTTTTTCTCTGGATTTAAACAATTGATTTAATCTTTCAGACAGGGGAAAACAAAGGCTGGAGTGGTCCAAAGGCTGGGTTTCCTGAACCAACAAATAACAGTAAGTTCTCATTTTTATGTTGTCTGCATTTAGTGTTCATCAGTAGTACTGACTGGTTCTGTCTGGATGCTGCTTTAAACATTGTGGAGGATATAGGGGAGTTGTGGTGTTTGCTTTCCTGAAAGAAAACTGGAAACTAAGACATAGACACTCATATCCTTAAAATGGCGAAACAATTGCAGATTCATATAGTGATGATATTTTTCAAACTGTCATTTTATTGATATAATATTCTTATAAAAATAAAAAAGCAATTATCTACAAATCAATTAGCTCTGAGATCAGCTGTTTTCAAAGTTAATTCTTTTAATGTCTATGCAAATATTTATATAATTATACTGATAAAATTTTTATTGTGTTGTTTTCTTTTAATAGTGCTATAAACATTTTCCACATTTTGCTGAGTCATTAGAATTTTTATTATTTAATTAAAATCACTAAATATAAATATAAAGTTGCTTATGGTCTTATTTCATGTATAGTATTCTTAATGCTTAAAACTCAATTTCTGTTTATTTCTTTTTCAAATGTATTTAATCAAGATATTTTGCACTGGACTTTTAGACACTGTACCCTCTTAAAAACATCTGTTTTCACTGAAATGACCATTTTACTGTAAATCAATGAATGAAAACATTTGGTTTTGAAAATGCTCAATTTATCTAATTTCTAACCCTGTTTCTCTTCCTTACAACCTCTAGGCACTGAAAAAGGAGGTTAAATCTGAAAATTGCCATAACAAGGGGTATTTAGTCTTTAAGATTGGCAGCTTACATCTTTATGTATATATAATGAAATTAATAACAGATATTACCAATGCATGCTTGTAAGAATTGAATTCTTGACTCAACTAGCCTCTTGAAAAGAATATTTCAGTGAGCTAATGGTATTTTTAGGGTAACTTTCTGAGAATAATTTAAATTAATGTGACTGAGAGACCTTGGACTATACAGTAGTGTTGAAAAATGTGATGAGTTTTGTATATACACCATAGAAAAAATGGAATCAGTTCAGGATTCTAAGAGAGTATATTTAATTCCTTTGATGTTTGAATATATTAGCTTATAATAACTTGATAAGAGAACATAGGGAACATTAAAATTGATTGAAGTTTTGTGTAAAGTATTTTAACATAGTACCTGTTTCTAGTAATTTTGTAATGAATGTTGATTTCCTTCCATCCTCCTTTCCCCATCTTTTATAAAAGTGATAAAAGTCTAAGTACTCTTGCCAAAAATTTAATTCTTATACTTTTTATTTGTCAGATATATTTTATCATGAACATTGTGACTAAAGAATAGTTTATTCTTGAGTCATATTTTGACACTAGCCATGTTTTTGAAGAACATATGAACATTACATATTTGAATATGGAAGTCATATAGTGATTAACTGGACATGAAATCACATTGTAGATAGCCTACAGGCTGTATCACTAAACAGATATTAGGGGTTGTAGCTCAGTGGTAGAGCACTTGCCTCACATGTGTGAGGCACTGGGTTCGATCCTCAGCACCACATAGAAATAAATAAATAAATAAATAAAGATATTGTGTCCATTACAACCAAAACATTATTTAAGAAAAAACACATTTCTAAAACAAACAATAAACAGAGATATTTTGGCTGTTAGTATTATGTGTTGATTTTTTTTTAACTTGCTAAATGATACTGGAACTCCTTTGCAAATATGAAAAGAATATATTAAAAAAAGGCTAATTGCTGGGTTTCTGTTCTCAGGACTAAAAGGCTCAGGGGTCACTCCAGGTAAACAGGGCTAACTGGGCTGCATGAAATAACCACACAAGAGACACAAATACCTTTTTCTTTGGGGTCGCTGTGACTGCTCCTCTTAAGGGTCCGCAGAAAGAGAGAGAGAGCGAGCTCGAGAGAGAGAGAGTGCGCATACGTACTGACCCTTTTATTGAGGAGAAGCTATTCAAATGAGGCAAGGGGTCAGGTTTCAGAGGGCTGAGTCTATCTTCATGATGTCCACTGTCAGCAGGTTGACTAAAAACCTGGGTTGGCCACATCCAAGGGCACAGTAAGAGAAGGGAACACATACAAGGCACTTCCATGCAAGATTCTATCCTAAACAGGGTAAGGGGTAATATTACAAAGGAACAGGTGAGCCTAGCTCCACCCATGGGGCTGTAGCAAGACATGCCCAGGCACGAAGACAGTCACTTGAACCCTAGAAGAGTGCAGCAGTCTAGTAGCATGGTTGCCTGACACCACATTGCCCAGCAGGGGAGTTAACTCAGTCTCGTGCGAGGTTGGTCTCCCACAGCTAATCAGTTTATTAAGTGATCAGAAATATGTAAGAGTGCCCCAAAGATTGTTTAACCTATTTGAAGCCAGTTTAAAACAACTAAATTGAGCTTGGTGCAGCGGTGTGTGCCTATTTAGCTACTCAGGAGGCTGAGACAGGAGAATCACAAGTTTGAGGCTAGCCTGGACAACTTAGCAAGACCTTGTCTCAAAATAAAAAATAAAAATGGACTGGAGATATAGCTCAGTGGTAAAGCACCCCTGGGTTCAATTCCCAGTACCAAAACAAAACAACAACAAATTAACTAAACTGTTAAAACTTTAAGAATTTCTCTGTTCTATAATGGTTCAAATTTGGAATTTCAAAGAATATTCTTACATCCCTTCCCGACTGTGAGGATAACAAAGCTGACATAATTCTTCAAATTAACACAGGTGGTTCTGCCTCAGGTTACCATAGATGATGAGAATCTGAAGAATAGAAACTGTAGTGTAGCCCAAGGTTTGATGGCTCACTAATGAACGAAGCTCCAGATCCATCAGAGCCAGTATAAAACTACTTAAATACATTAGGAAAAAGTTGGTTTCTGCTTAGTAATGGATCACTGAGGTGATAAGTCAATTACATGAAAATTAATTTAATGGTAATATTTAGGTTAACTTCTCTTCTATTTGATCAGTTCCTTAAGTTTGAAATTCTGCTCTAAGTGATTTCTGCCCTATGAAAAATACCTGTTAACATTTTAGGCAAGGGTTAAATCTTGGATCTTTTAGGATGACACAGGTTGAGGAAGATAGAAATTTGAGGTTGCCAGCACTAGGTGCCTTAATGACATATTGTCGAGCCATGAACAGTTCATTTTATATCTTATTTTCAATATGCTATGTTAAGAGTTATATATACAAATTTATAATGTTGAGACACTTAAATTATTGAATATTTGTACAATGATTAACCAACCTTGAAAAACATCTGAAAAGGTAACATTAACCTTGTGAAAAACATTGTGTTGTCATGAAGTGACTCTCTGCATCATTTTGTCAAATTCTACATCACTGTAGCTTTGAAGATCAAATTTCTAGCCAATCATTATATGGATAAATAACACAAAATTAACTTGAGTCATAATATACAGAAATTAAAAGAAGGGAATGCAGAGTTGGAAAGTGAAAGAAGGAAATTTTAATCTGGCATAGCTAGCACCTAACTATAAGTAGACAAAAAATGTTAATGTACATGTGCATTTAATTTTTGAAGTGGAAGATTTTTTTTTAAAGATTATAGTCATAGAAACTGCTAACAGTTACAATTGAAAAAAATACTTGAAATGGTTTTGCAAGTGATTGTGATTACATAGACTGGTTTCTCAATTTATTTTCCTGGCTTGATTACCTGCAGCTTTAAAATATGGACCTAATTTTGGTATGCTTCTCAGGCTTTCTTCATCATACTGAAGTATATCAGAACGTAGACTATTCTGTGTTTTTATCCTTCAAATCATTGTCATTATATTGAAGTACTAGAAAATGTTACAATATAATGTGAAGTTTTTGTTAAATTTGTCATAGGGCAATTTTATGCTTGGCATACACATAAAAAGCTAGCTTTGAGGAATGACTAACAAATTTTTTTTAAAAGATCATTCATTTTAAAGATTTACTGATTGCTTATGGAAAACTTTCTAAAATATTTAGATACAGTTCAGTTGATAATATCTTTTTTTTTGTATTCACAGTCCATGTTTCTTATTAATAAAGGGTTTTACTTGAAACAGGTTGTTTCTTAAAGGTGAACTCTAGCTTAATTCAAAATTGGATTAAGCTCAAAGGTATTCACTGGTATGTGCCGAATCCACCCACTAAAATATTATTTGGAAGCATTTTTTCCTCAGAAATATTTTTCCATTAACCTTTAAAAAAGTTTTAGGCCTCATGAAATATGTTGGCTCTTCTAGGTTCATTAGAGAAAACTCAAGACAAATACTTTTGGGACAGAATAGAGTGACTTTTTCAGGATTTAAGTTGACTCAGTAACATTTTTGTCACTTTTGTGTCATATGCAAGTCATATGCAGTGTTCATCCTAAAACTAGGAAGCTATATTATCCCATTGATAGGATGTTGGATAGGTTGCCTGCTTGTTTCCCTGATAATGGTATACCTTATCTAGAACCTCTACTTATCTTTTTTTTTTCCTGTGGAGTGTGGGGGTTGTCCTTTGATGATAATAGATTAATACATTATTGCTTTAACAGTGTTTTGGGAGAGTTCCCTAAACAAATTCCTTTTGGGGTTCCCGTAACAGAAACCACTTTGTAATGAGACAATTAAAGTAGTTGTAGTCAATTGGATTTAAGTATAAAGCTGAGTGATACATCTTATCTGTTTATTTAGACATAAACAACTGTGTTCAAAATGCAAGAGTGTAGCTGATCTGTAGTGATGTATTTTAGAAAGATTTTGGTGAGTTACCTTTGCTGAGCAGACTGTGCTCTCCATCTGAGACTGCTGATGGAAACGTTCTTTTTACCATGAGCGAGAAAGACTTAATATTCCATAAAGATACCCTCCCCAGATTACCTTGGTGCTATGTTGGACTGTCTGAGTGATGAGAAGCTGTAGTCTTTTGTTGTTTTAATTGCTTTGACAAGGATTTGCTTTTCTTGTCCAGTGAATCTAAGGTTAGAGGTAGCGTTAAGTTTGCTTCTATCGTAGTCATGTCGGTTAAGT